TGAAGAGCACGGCAAACTGTCGAGGGTCCAGGATGAGCACCACAGACGCAGGCGTCTGAGCATACCACTCTTGTAGGGCTGGATGATGGTCGAGCCTGGTTCTCGTGTAATCTAGGCATGAACCCTATGAACCGCCCAGTACTTCAGGAGCTGCACTCGGTATTATTTCCTGCAGCTTCCATGAACTTTTGCTGCTTTGTCGGATTTCGCCAATGTCAGTCTTTGTGCCGGCATCTACTCGCAGATTGAAGTTATGGTCTCCATCGCACATCCTTCCCACTTGAAGCGATCAGCATACAAGGTTTTCCAGATGCCCATATCATGTGGGTGGTTGTCAAAATTATGGTCCCTCTTTGGGTCCCTATTATAATACGGCACCTATTATTCAGGGGTACCCAAAAGGGGACCCTAATTTTGACAACTACCCATGTGATTTCAAGCAAGGAGTGCACAGTGACATGTCAGACTAGGGCCGCGGCTCCAAAGGGCTTCAGTGTGGGGCTGCCGGCGGAATCTCGAGAGATACGAAGACATAATGTAACATAGTGGTATACATGGATATCTGACATGCTATATTCCTAGTATGTAACCTTACCATGTTGTATCATGATGTAACATCTTTCAGACTTCTTCAAACGATTTGAGGCCCGCACTGGGGCTCGGGAGCTGCGCCTCATCTGTCTGTCTGTGTGTGTGTGTGTGCATGTTCTCTACGCAGCTTCTTTCCCTAGGGATCTACGGACTTATATATTCATGCTTTCGGGCCCAAAGACAATGCTATTATAATAAGGGCTTTTGGGCTATTTTGATCCCTAGGGTTTCTCCGCATGAGAGTTACACAGGTCTTAAGCCGGCCTTATTCGGTGTTTAGGGGGTAACCGTTGAGGTCTTTCAGGCCTGTGCAGCTTTAAAACAGGACTTCCCGCTGTCCGCTAAAACCTGCATCCCTAAACCCTAGAACCCTTTGGAAATGCTAAATCCCTAAATAACCCTAAACCCCTAAATATAAAACCCTTTCTTGAACGCTAAAGCGTAAACTCCAGAACCCTTTACACTTCATCAACCCTAAATCCATATACACCTAAAGCCCTTCATAAACGCGAGAATACGGCGTACCTGTAGCTGAAATACCGTTTTAGGGCTCCTTATTATGGCTTCTATATGGGTGGTTGTCAAAAATATGGTCCCTTTGTGGGTCCTTATTATAATACGGCACCTAATATGTACAGTGCCCAAAAAAGGACCATAATTTTGACAACCACCCATGTAATTTTGACAACCACCCATATATAGCTCCTTCAAAGGGAAGGTAAACTCTGGAAAGCAGAGCCGGGGAGGTCGCTGCGCGAGCCCATCGGCCTGGCGAGCCTCGGTTTCCGACACTGGGAGGGACGATGCCACAGAAACTTCAGTTAAGGGAAGTTAAGGGTGCAGAATAGAGTGTATGTATACAGTATACTGCAGAAACTTCAGTTAGGGGTCTAGTGTAGTATATTGTGATACTACAGGATAGTAATTACGGTATAGTAGCATATAGAGAACAGAGTACATGTATACAATACACTCTATACTGATCGAGTAAAGAGTTTCTAAGCTACAGTGTATATGACAGTATGCTGTAGTATGATTAGTATCTCTGAACCCGGCCCAGATTCTCGGCATCTAAAGCTACTGCGTGGACTACCACTTCTGCTCCATGCTCGTGCGGAATATTGAATGTTCCTTCTACTCCTTTTTGGAGCAGTTTCAGCAGAGCAGATGGGTGGTTGTCAAAATTAAGGTCCCTTTTTGGGTACTCTAAAGATTAGGTGCCGTATTATAATAAGGACCCAAAAAGGGGCCTAATTTTGACAACCACCCAGATAGCTTCGAGAGCCCCGCAGGTCGCGCTTTGACTTCACGGGCTTGGCAATTTGGTTCTCGAAGATGGTGTTGGTCGGATGCATCTTCACCCTCGAGAGCTACGAGCTAGGCCGGTCTCAAGGCACAGATTCTTGTTTCGAGCGGCTGGTCGCAGAAGTCGATGGTCATCGGGCCTGTCGTCTTATGAGAAAAAGGCCCTGGAATTGAGATTCCATACACTAGCCACCGACTGAAGACGTAAGCTTGAAACCATAGTCTGGCCACCAGATCCCCTTCACGTACCTTGGCAAATCCCCCATCCACATCCACCTCTTCCATCCACAAAGGCTTGCTGTCGTTTCTGCGATTGCTTTACTGAGCCGCCAGCTGGTTGGCCTTGGCGGGTGCATAGATATGCTTCACCTCACCGTAACGGTCCATGGTGGTGTACGACCTCAGCTCTCTCGCACCTACCCCGTTACAGATCGTGAGACTTTAGGTCGCACTGAGGTGGTGACATGATGGGTCGAAGCGCAGTTGGCGCTGAAACCCCTCGGTCCCCTGGTCCACCTTTCCTATGTTGGATGCTCGTCGTGATGGTGCGAGCTCTGCCCCTGACACCGCTGCCATTGACTTGTGGGCTTGGTCCCTATGCTTTCCACATCCCGGAGAGTCACAGAGCTCAAAAGCCGCGGTTTTGGGCTTAGGGCTTAGGGGTTTACGGCTTGGAGTTTAGGGTTTAGGGGTTTCACGGTTTAGGGTTTGCAGTTTAGAGGGTGATCCACGACCCGAGTGTCGGATACCGTGAGACGCAGAAGCGCGGCAGCTGAGGCTCGACAGAAGGGTTTTGACTCTCCGCAACATCATGTCTATCTAGAGCCTGATGTGTAGCACCTTTTTGGAAATAATGTATTTGTGGCTTCGGATTCTAGAAGATGAGATAATCTAGGGTAGCGAACATGGTGCCACATTTCAGGGTCCAGACATGTGCGTCTTTTGCGAACCTGCCTCAGCAAGGCTCTCTAGTCAGGCTTTGCAAGGTCTGTGAGCAGACTGCCTTGAGTTTACCCATGGCAGCTGTCCCAAACCGCAGGATCACGGCGGCAGATCCGTCCGCACCGGAACTTCATCTAGGCTTCTCTCGTAAGTACTAAGGGATCGCGTAGTTGAGTGCCGGCACGGAGAATGTACAATCCCACGACACACCGAATTGTTAAAAGTAGTAAGTCGATTCTGGTGTTTTGGCGGGCAACTGAGCAACTGAAGCCCTCGTTTAGGGCCGGTTGCCGTGCAGTGTGCGCTTTCGACACATGGCTGCAGTTGTGGTGCCGACTGAATTGAAAAGCAAACCCCAGCCCTAAACCCCTAGGCCCTAAACCCTAAATGAGATCTCAGAACCCGCCAAATGACTCTCTTCAACTCTCTGGGCGGTTAGACAAAGCTGGCGGTGAGAAGAAGTCGTGGAAACAGTCCTGTCAACCATCCTATGGGCAGTATACATAGTACCGTGTTGTTCTATACTACAGAACAATCTATTGAGTCTATTGTATTGTACTAGGGTCATTGGAGCCACTACTAGCTTTGGTTGGTATTCTACTACAGATTCAATATTCAACCGCAAAGGCACCCCGCAGGGGCTAGCCCAGCCGAGTTCTCCACATACAGCTGCCACGTGCCATTCTAACGGTATTGCCGACGGTTCCAGGAAGAGAGAAGACAAACCGGGCACAGCGACGATGAACGCATTGGGTGCGCGCCTGCGCTGGTTCAGCGCAGAATGCTGGGAAGTTAATTTCTCGTCTCACTTGGCTTCAGCCTCCGTGAGTGTTTGGCAAAGCTCCTGCAAGGAGTCTCAGCAGGGAGACGTCCATGGTCCTGCATGCTATGAACACAGTCACAAGGTCTTACGAATCCTGGCATGAGACTTCTCTGTCAATCGCGACCCACCAGTGTCGCAGACCCAGCTTTCCCAGGAACCTGGCACTTCTGCTTGGAGGATCGTGGGACTTAGTAGGTAGGGTTATAAGTACTTTAATTGGGGTTATAAGTAATTATAAATGTAGTTACTTTACTTATAACTCTACTTACGAAGTCCCATGATCCTTTAAGTGGTGTAGGCGAAGCCTCTGCGCGCTTAGGAGCCCCTTGGCGAAACAATTCGGACGTCGCCTGCAGCATCGCTCTCTCCGATCCTCCTCCTGCACCAGATGTAGATCGGATCAAACCTCAAACCCTAAACACAACCAACAAAAATAAAAGCGACAAACACAAAACGGAACCCTAAAATCCTAAACCCTAAAAGCGCTAAAACCCTAAACCGGCTTCAGATCTCTCTCGCCTGAACTTCGTCGTAGACCGCATTGGATGCCTGCTCCTCTGGGGAAGCGAAGCAAATCATCACCAGGCCTCGGGGGGAGCTCAGTCTTTCCTATGATGGTAAAATGTGTAGTATAGTATTTTTTCATATAGCACAGAGTACTGGAGTTTAGTATACTAACACATGTTATAGCTTATTCATCAGACATCACGATATGTTATTTTACAGCTTGGCATGGCTTCTTACAATATTGTATACTGTCTAGCTTATGGTAGAAATTTCAGTATGCATCGCAAAACAGCTCTTGGACACAAGGTGTACTTGGCCGCATGCGAGTAGTTGCAACCGTCACTGCCTGCAGGGAACCCATCCGAGCGTGGGAAAGCACACAAATAGAAGCTCTGCACAGTCTCCGAGAAGTTCATTCTGGAAGATCGGAACCGAAATTCCTCATGGGCTACGACCTTCCTGTCGAAATGACCAGATGGCCCCCCAAACTCGCCGGCTCCACCGATGCGTAAACGATGCACGACACAGCATACAACGCCCAGTGCCTCCCATGCGCCAAGCTTGGTGCTCTTGAAACTTGCACTACTGTTGAGTGATCCATCATGAATTACGAAGGCTTTGATGATCCATCATTATAAATCATAAAGGCTGCCGTGCTGCACGACGGCAATTGTAACCCAGATCCCTCCATCGCATGTGTTACGCCCCATGAGCTCCAAACTGGAGTGCAAGCAAGCGTGACCTTTACTCTCCGTAGACGTACCTTTGGTTAGTAGGGAATGAGAATAGTAGTAATAGTAGTTGTAATGGTACCCCATTCCTCCATTCCCTACTAACCTAAGGTAAGTAGATTGTCTGCAGACATCGCCAGCCTCATGGCGAGGCTGCCGAAGGCGACGGAGTAACCCCGCACAACGAGCATTCCTGCCAAAGGCGACTCACGGAGCTTCCGGCGCAGGTATGTCGCTGCATTCCAGGAAGTCATGGCCTCTTGACTATTATAGTATATGGTATACGGTATATAGTATATGAAGTACGTAGTCTATAGTACATCGTACATAGTATTTCGTACATAGTATATAGTATGGTGTAGTATGGGTTTTGCTGCCTCCGTTGGGAAGAGCCATGCATCATGCGAGGTTTTTGGGGAAGGCTTGACGCGAATTGCTGTGGCGCCGACCCCACTGGAAGCAGACGACAAAGCCAAGGACGTCGTAGATGAGAACAGACCTTGAGTCTGCAAGTAGTCTGCTATGGAGCCACAAGCAGGTTTCAACAAGCCTAAACCCTAAACCGCTGGGTCTGCCGACACGCAAATGGCACTGGAGATCGCCCCGGGGTTCAACTGCAACCTCGGAGGGCTTGGGGGTCAGGATGGCTCAGGGTTTAGGATACTGTAATATGTTATATTATATACGGCATAATACTATGCTATGATATGTTATGTTATCTGGCATTCTATATAGTACTATACTAAAAATTATGTACTACGTCAGGGTTTAGGGGGCCTTGGAATTCCACTTTCATCCCTTTTCGACTGGGTCCTCCTCAGACCCCCACTGTCGCTCGGACTCCACCTCCAAGACAGCTTCCTGTCACGGTTGTAGGGGTTCAGGGTTAAGGCTTTAGGGTTTATGGTTTGGGGTTTAGGGTTTAGCGTGTCGCTGACAGGAAAAGCTGTGACAGAAATACACTCGATCAGAACACTGTACTATACTGTATTATACTATGCTATACACCACTATATATATACTATGTACTATCTACTATATACTATGTATTGGATACCATATACTATACATTCATATTATATACCACATAATACATACTTTATACTATACAGGCCTCGTCAGAGGGCATAGAAGCATACTTGCACCGGGGCGTCGGGACCTCACGCAACTGTCACTGGCATCTGGTCGGACCGTGTCTTGAAACTTCTCCGGGGAACTGACCAGAGAGCTCTTGAAGTCCTCCTCGTCCTCGTCCTGGCTAGGAGACCGTCATGAGCCGAGGATATGCTACGACTGCTACGAGTCGCGTGACGAAAAGAAAGGAAGAAGGGACCTCGTCCAGCGGGATGTCTTCCAGGTTGCTGAGATCAGTGTCCTGAAAACTCGGGCAACTCTCTCTCCAACACAGATATTCAAATGTCGTATAGGATCCTTCTTACAAGGACCCAAGAACAAGGTACCCCGTACTGTCGGAAACTCCCAATGTAGATTCTTCATTCGCAAGGACTGGACCTCCACCAAGCAAGCATCGCTGCCAGCCTGTGGCATTTCTGCAGACCATGTCTCAATTGCATGAGTGGTTGTCAAAATTACGGTCCCTTTGGGTACCCTAAATATTAGGTTTGGGGTACTCTAAATATTAGGTGCCGTATGAGAACAAGGGGCCAAAAAGCGACCATATAATTTTGGCAACCACCCACATGCCCTCCCCAATCACAACTACGCTACAAGACTTGCGCCGTGCGCCTTCTGGACACGCGACAGCATCTCTCCAAATTCAACCCGCCTGTCAAGCTGCTGTTGCATGTGCGCAGTGTGAACAACGAACGGTGCAAGACCGAACTTCTATGAAGCCAGCCTGCGTGTCACCATTTGGCTGCAGGCATCGTTCACTGAACGCGAGAGCCGCATGGAGGAAAACTCATCGACCTGAAGATGTCTGTCAAAGCCACTGAGGCCCAAGGCTGCCAGCAATTTCCGTGCTGTTGCCCGTGTGCGAAGCGGGGACCTATTTGCTTCAAGAGGGAGGTATATCGGTCTACCTAGCCGCGGGAGTCGGGAGGATCGGAGGGAAGCTTCTCATAGTCACGTTTAGTCTTGCAAGTATGCAGACTTTATGTAAATCTCTCTGCTCCCGCACAGATTTGACCAGGGATGTTGGAAGTCAGAACCTTACACACATTGCATGTACATGGGTAGTTGTCAAAATTATGGTGCCTTTTTGGGTACCTTAAATATAAGGTGCCGCATTATCATGACCCAATACGGGGCCATCACTTTGACAACCACCCACATGGGGACTGATGGGCTATGTCTATGTCTCACCTGAGAAGATGGGAGTTTCCGAAAATTAGGGGTACCTTATTTTGGGGTCCCTAAAATAAGGATCCTACTTTTTAGGGTGCTATATGAGAGTCCCGCATTTTCGGAAACTCCCAGATCGCAAGAAAAAAGGGTCGCGGGAAGCTTCTGCACTTCAAAGGAGCTGCCTTGAAGATCCATGTGATCGCTGCCGAACACCTAGGCTCGAAAACCCAGGAATTTTTTTGAGGGGTTTGGGTCTGGGGTTTAAAATTTGAACCCTAAACTTAGGGGTTTGGGTTTAGGAAGAAAAATTGGAACCCTGAACCCCAAGTTTAGGGTTTAGGGATTCATGTAAGGCTGACATGAACTTGTGACTGGGCGCGGCTGTTCCTGCAATGTGTAATTGCCTGTTCAACTCCAACACACGGCGGTAATCCATTTGCAAGTAACGACAGATGGATCAAGCCCCCGACAAAGCGCCCAGGAGTGTTACAACGATGGCCAGGCTGCAAAGCACCAGCCATGCCTCCGCAATCAATTGAAACCCCTAACCCCTAAACTGTAAACCCACCCCAGTGACATCGGCTTTGTTCACTAAGCGGAAGGAAGGGGCAGGCCGGTCTCAAGACACCTGCGTGAATGACCTGATACTGGCAGGGAGGAACTATGCTGACGCTCGGAATTCCAGCGAGTTCGGTCGCTGTGCAGGGTGTGAAGCACGAGCCACAAAGGTGTCCAGCACCACAACTTGATGGCAACTCCGCTGTGTCTCACGTTGCATTCGGATGCTACTGATGCCTGCACCAGAAACTAACCCCCTAAAGGATGTGCGCTGAGTCATGCACTATGCGATGATGCAGACGGTTCTCGTTTCGGGATGTTCGATCCGCCCATTCCGGCCACGCGCTCGAAAAGCGACGCAGAGATTATCTTGATGCTGAGGATGCTGCTATTTCTTGCGGCAGACAGTAAACGGAGTATGATGCCGATGCTCGTGACCCCTGCTTCATTCCTTATGCTTTATGGCATGTGCTGGAATAAAAGCCTCGTTTTGATGCTCGTGGTACGTTCTTCCTGCCCTCCTGCCTGCACCGGCAACATGTTATTCCAGCCGGTGCTGATAGCTGTTCTGGATGAGCCGGACCACTGGAGAACGTTCATCGGGCTGATGCTGATGGTGTTCGTTTGGGCAGTGCATTGAGAAGCAAGCCAGCAAACAAAGCCTTTCGGTGCTGCTCACTTGCGTGTGCAGGGAGAGGTGCGGTCGAGCTGATGCCGTTGACCCCTCCCACGAAGCTCGCTTCACAGCCGTGTGCTTTAAGAGCAGCCTGCGCGTCGAACATCGATGAGGTCGAGGAGTAGACCTGCCAGTGGAGGAGGCGGCCAAATCTCATTTCAAGCTCATTTATCTTTTTTACTAAGGCAATTGCCATGATTTGGTACTATACTGCAATTACTGCACATACACATATATATAGATATATATATATATATATGTTATATATATATATATATATATATGTATATGTTTATGTATATACAGTAAAAAACATTCCAACTTGAACTGCAGAGTTGCTGCAGATCTCGCACTCCCTCTTTTCCGCGCTCGCACTCACCGCTGCTAAAATTCCGAAACTTTGAAGACAACCCGGATCATTGCCGGGATAATGCTTTGGTAAAAACCTCGAGGTAACGATATGGCCCCACCTTTTCGAACATACCCAGCTCCCCGGAAGCGAAACACCTTGTCCGGGATGAGGGTCCCTCCCTCACCGACGCACGCACAACCCTGAAAAGGGACTGGGCTACTCCACAGGAGGCCGAGTCCAATCAGTGTGGGTGGGCGGGCAAAATCAGCTGCCTGCCGTTTTGGATCACACTTGAGCCAAATATGGCAGCCAGCAGCAGGTTTAGAATGATGCATGTGCACCCAAGCCTGCCAAACTCAACACATGTACATGATCCCGGTTCTCGGTTCGCCGAACCCCCCCACCAATGGTATTCCCCCACCCACTTCCCAAACGTCCCAAAGATGCCCGATCCGTGTGACAGTGCAATGTTTACCGGCACGATTCACATGCGAGGCCGCCCAAACCGTCAACTGTCACGAGGATCGCGTCCCAAACACACCCGATCCCTGTGACTGTGGACACATCCCAAAGAAAGACGATTACGAGATGAGGGTCTAACCAACGCAACAGTCACGTGGACGCGTTCCCAGACAGGCCCGATCCCTGTGCCCTGTGACAGCTGGCCCATTGCAACCTTATGGCAATTGCCCACAAAGCGACAACTCAAAGCGATGATCGTTACCAGGCACGTGGGCAGAAGACACCAGACGACCAACCAATGTTTTTTTAATATGTTCGAGAATGATAATGATGGTGATCATCGTCCACAGCATCATCATTATCCTCATAGGGATGAGGATACCAAACACCCAGCGCAGACCCAAAAACCACCCCAAGCAGACCCACCCCAGACCACACCACACCTCAAGAGGGGAAGCAACCCACCACACCACAGGGAGGGGGGGGGGGGGGGAACCATGGGGCAAAGGGGGGGTGGGGGGGGAAACGGCCGAACCGGTATCATATATGTGTATACATGTGTGTATATATATATATATATTCATTTATGTATTTATCTATATTTTTGATATTTATATTAATACTTATATCTATATTCTGGCCAGTATTTATATATTTATTTATTTATATATATATATATATATATATATATATATATCTGCTACTGAAGTCTGGCTCCCAGGCCATGCTGGCGAGCACGATCAGCAGTCCGTAGGTCGGGTCGCAGCCTGGAGAAGAACCGCAGTCCACGCGGAGCATTAGGGTTTAGGGGCCTAGGGTTTAGGGTTTAGGGGTTTAGGGGTTAAGGGGCCTAGGGTTTAGGGTTTAGGGGTTTAGGGGCCTAGGGTTTAGGGTTTACTTACCTTTGGTTAGTAGGGAATAGGGCTCCTTTAAAGGGATCTATAGGGGTTTAGGGTTCCTTTAAAGGGATCTATAGGGGTTAAGGGCTCCTTTAGTGGGATCTTTACCTTTGGTTAGTAGGGAATGGAGGAATGGGGTACAATTATAACTAATATTACTACCATTCTTCCATTCCCTACCAACCAAAGGTAAGTTTAGGGGTTTGGGGGGGCTTAGGATTATTACGGTGTAGGGATTTAGGGTTTAGGGGCCTAGGGGTTTGGGGGGCTTAGGATTTACGGTGTAGGGATTCAGGGTTTAGGGGCTTGGGGTTTAGGGCTTAGGGGTTTGCGGTTTAGGGTCTAGGGGTTTGGGGTTCAGAGTGTAGGGGTTAGGGGTGTCGCATACCAAGCCCGGCCGAAGCAGTTGGAGTTCTGCGCATGTTTCCCCCTCCTTCCCGTGGACTTATTGGCGTGTCCTCAAGGCACAACATGTCATGTCCTCCGCTGGATTGCCGCATGTCCCTAACCAGTCCGGCACACATTTCCTTCTGACCCCCGGCCCGTGCCCCAGCCCCTTTCCTTTCCTTCCTTCTCTGTCCCCTTTGCTGCCCCTGCCGCCTGACGAGACTATCTCGACCCGTCCAACAAAAACTCGAAGCTTTATGTTAAAGGCATTGCAACTGCGCTTCCTCAACCGATGCCTGAGAGACTGGCAGGCCATGACCAGACAAACAACGCAGGAGTACACCTGGGCACTTGAGAAAAGCATCAGGATCCTTTTTGCAAAGAGCCCTGGGGTAATCACAAGTTGGCGCAAACCAGAAGCGTCAACTCCCCTCAACCCCTGTCGACAAAACTTCGCCAGAACAGCCATGGCTCTTCCACACAGACCTCTGGGAGCTTCCTCATGAATGAGGCATGGGCTATTACCACTAGTAATGGGTTTAGGGTCCAGGGCTCAGGATCCAAGCTATAACCCCAATATTGACGCCGGCTTCGGAGCATACCCGAACTGAAGAAGCAAGATCATTGATCACCTCCTGAAAGGATCCCCTATATCAAAGGGGAAAAAGAGGGACCCTTAATGGGGACCCCTACCCTATAATGGGCTATATAATGGGTATATAATATATTATAGCTATATTAAGGGTGTATACCTAGGGGTCCTTATTAAGGGTCCCTCCTGCTACCTTTGGACTATAGTTCTTCAAAGAACGGACCTGGCTATCTGACTCGGCTGACTCGAGGCTCCGGCAATGTAGGACACGAAGGATCGTTGGACAGAGCTGCTGTAGCCTGAGCATTCAGGCATTTGGGGGAGGGGGGGGGGGGTTCCGAAAATAGGGGACCCTAATATAGTACCCTACACTAAGCACTGGGATCCTTATTATAAGGACCCCAAATAATGGCGAGGATTCCACCGACATGTTCGGCATCTAGCTTCCTACATTGAGTGCTGGAAGAACCACTGGAGCTTGGGTTCAGGGTTTAGGGGTTTAGGATATGGTCGTCAAGAGCCTTCAAATCTGTTGGGAGTCTTTGCTAAACTGTCCTCGGCGCGAACATGCTATACAATGCCTTCTTGGTCTCTATTGACGACTTGCTTCTAGGTTTCGTCAGCTTCGCGGTCTTGCGGCATGCGGCTTGCCAGAAGAAGCATGGAGCTAGCCTGGGCAACCCCACCATGACTGTAGCAGAGCTGTTGGAGCTGCGGGTCCGGAATGATCCTGAGTCTTGCTTGGGTACTTAAAGGATCATGGGACTTAGTAAGTAGGGTTATAAGTAAAGTAACTACAGTTATTATTTCGTATAACCCAATTAAGGTATTTGTAACCCTACTTATATACTAAGTCCCATGATCCTCCAAGTACAAGAACATCGAGATAGACTCAGGAAGATGAGATCAGCACGGCTCGGGACCAAACCTGCCAAGAAATGCACAGGACATCGATGCAAGAGACATGCACTCCCCCATCCATCCCTAAACCCTAAACCCTAAACCCAACCACCACAAAATCTCAACCTTTAAGTCGCACACCGAAGATAGAAGCACACGCTGAGGACCTCAGAGCGGCGGCATCAGCTGGGCTGACATGGGCCTAAGAATTCCTCTAAATTACCCATGGGCTCCATAGTAGTTCCTTTTTGGGGCTCATATCTAGAACTCTATAAGGTCATCCCAAAAGGAACTACTATGGGGCTCCATGGTAGTTCCGTTTTGGGGTTCATACTTAGAATCCTACAGGGTAATCCCAAAAGGAACTACTATGGGGCTCCACAGTAGTTCCTTTTTGTCATGGTCAGCTCAGTCCCCGACCAGCCACACAGCGATAACGGCCGCGACAACAACTTGATCGGAACGGCTTGGCTCTAGCCTCGGTTGGCGGGGGGGGGGGGGGGGCGAAGATATGGTATATCATATATAGTATATCATATATTGAATATCATATATCTACATACATATATATATATATATATATATATATATATACATAATATACATATATATATATATATGTATATATATATATACATATATATATATATATATATATTATACATATGGTGTGTTACATAATGGCGGCTTTCTGTTCCAACTTTGAGAAGTTGGTGAGACCACGCATGGGAGAATTCTACGAGGGTGTGACCACGAACCTGAGCTGGGCACGCATCCACAACCGAGAGCACCAGCGCCCAATTACTCCAAGCAACAGCCTGAAGTGGCGCTTCCCAGAGAGCCCAATACCCCTTAATTAAGGAATATAGCTCCTTAATTAAGGAATATAGCTCCTTAATTAAGGAATATAGCTTAAATCATAATATGAAGCCCCTTGTAGTTTAAGGTATATTAATCAAGGGGTATTGGGCTCTCTGGGTTCTTCGCTGTGGCAGGGCTTGGGTTCCGGGTGCCGTGCCCACCCCAAGCAGGTGATCGTTGCCAGCAAAAAGAAACGAAGAAAGCCTCGCAGACCTGCAGCAAATCAGCTCAAAATGGCATCCATCACATACCCGCGTAGACCAGAGCTGGAAGGTGTCCATCAATCGTATTAGATTATTAGACGATCGACAGGCTGCAGTTGCTCATCGGCAGTTCCGCAGCCCATAACTACCCAACACACTACCTACAGGCCCCAAAGTAGTTCGGGCCTATGGGTAGTTCATGCGATGCAGGACAATACGTGCGGACTGCAAGTGGTCTAACAAGTGGTCAGCCTTTCTAGCATCAGTCACACCTCGCAAGAGAAGGGATCTGGCTGCCGGGTACTCTGTGTTGTGTGAATTGAACGTCCCTTCGACATCGTGCAGCCGGATGTGACTTTTTCCACCACACATGCTCATGCGCGAAGACTGCGTCGAAGCTGAAGTCCCGTGCTTCTCGCTTAACCGTTGCTTGCCTGCCTTGGCCCTTCCTGCTTGCAACTCCCCGGCAGTACTTCATGGCCTCGCATCAGATGCACTAATTGAGTCGCAGGACACAGCAGGACAAAAGCTGGAAGACAGGGGCATCGGTGCAGACAGTGCATGACCACTGTTGGAGTCGCACCAGGTGTGTCATCAGTGCACAGCTGAAAGTGAGCCTCAACTTCCATGTTCCTGCTTTCCCTTCTACAAGCCGGAAGCAGCTTTAAGAGCAAGTTTGAGCTAACCGCAGCGCTGCAATGCAGGAGGACAATAGGGCCTGGCCAGGCGCTAGAGCGAGTTCCCGTACCTGAAGCCACGAAGAGGAACCTTCCATGCATTGCCTCGCCTGCAGAAGGTTGTCTTGTGCGATGCCCATGAACCTCGCGGTGATGGCTGCCAGCGATTTAGGGCTTTGTGGTCGTAGGCTGCAGAGCCAGGTCGTGGACCACTCTACAAGTGCATTGGTCCTCGGCAGATGCGTTGAGGTATGAAGCTGCATCACCAGATCGGTTAACCAACATCATGCAAGAATGCCATTGCAAGGAAGCAATGCCTCTGAGTCCCCAGCTTCCCAACAGAAACCGAGATTGGAATCCAGGCAGCTGCATCGATAACGATTTGGAAAGAGAACTTCCTGTCTTCTGTCTTCGGAAGTCACAGCGAGACATCTGAAAGACGTGGCTACTAAGCCTTGATAATCAAAACAGACCAGACCAATGCAGCTGCAGGTTACAAAATCCGTGCGGAAAGTACCAGTGCGTGAAAAAAGGTAGGGAGACTTGAGCCCTAGCATTCTCGTACCGCGTGATACTCCCAAGCAATCCTTGCCAGCGGATTCTTCTTCGGGTCCGCAATCCAGTCCTGGCCTCAAGACGGTCAGGCTGAACTCAGGCAAAGTAGACGCCTCTATGTGGTTACAGGACCAGCTGCCAGATCTCGGGAAGTTGCAGAAGGGGCAAGCAGGCATCCAGAGTGTCATAATTAGTGCCCCGATGGTGAGATCTGTCCGGAAATAGGGGACCCTAATATAGTACCCTAAATAGTAGGATCCATATTAGAAGGACCCCAAAGTACGGTACCCCACAAGCCAGTGCCTGGAAAATCCTCCAAGAGCTCAGGCCAAATAAGAAATAAGACATACCCTCAACATAGCTATTATATACCCATTGTATAGCCCATAATAGGATAGGGGTCCCCATTACGGTCCCTCCTTTTCCCCATGTTAGCAACATCTGGTCCAAGGCAGCTTTTCTACAGGCTGTGCTGATGGCGCAGTTTGCACAGTGGCCGGGGGTTGAACCAACTCAATCTGACACCTGCGAGCTAGGCTTTGGGCCAGGCCGGTGCCCGGCGCACATGCATTTGCTGAGCCTATCATCCAACATGTGTCGCCGAGAAGTGGCATGCCCAGCCCAAATCCATCGAGGCAGGCACTGTTCAAGTCACATGCACAAGCGGTACAGACCGTGCTGTAAACGATGAGCTGTCAGTTTCAACGCCGACAACTCTCAGCTCGACATCCTTGCCATCGGGGGAGGGTGAACACGATCTTACACCTGCGAGCTAGGCTTTGGCAAACTTTTTGCAAGGAAAAGATCTAAAGGGGACTCCAGAAAGTTGGAATATGGATTAATGGTAGGATCCCCTATAATTTACCTTAAAGGGGTTACGATAATGATATTCCAACTTTCTGGCTTCTACTGTAGGGTGCAGGAGGCCGTAGGGGCGACCCTGGCAGCTTTAAACGATGGGCCGTTCTGCGGAGCGACTCTCGGTCGAAGTGCTGCCGGACAAACATATGGGAGTTTCCGAAAGTAGGGGACCCCAATATAGCACCGTAAATAGTAGGATCCTTATTATAAGGACCCTAAAATCAGGTAGCCCTGATTTTCGGAAACTCTCATATTGTCGTCTCGTTCATGATGTGCATGGGTCAGACGCCTGTGAAGAACGAAGCATCTCAACGCCTCTCTTCAGCAAAGAACTACCTCCTTTTCCGTCAAAGCTCTATGTTAAGATGCTGGACTTCATTTCCGCGAGGTAGGTCTTCTGCTAAGCTCAATGTACCTCAAGATGAGACCTCATGGCTGATTCACAGCCGCAGGACCGGATCAGGAATAGGAACAGGACCGGCTAGGTTTCGCTGCAGGGAACTTCCAACTGCCAGGCCGTTGAACGACTCCCAACTGGAATTGGCCAGGGTAGCCGGGACGCACAGGGTGGATTCGACATCAAATTTCAAGTGCCAAGCTACAGTACACGGCGCAGCATCCATGCCCAGTGCCAGCTGGAAACACCTGGGTAGCGTTGTAAATCAGGTGAGACTTTCTGTGTTGTGACAGCACCCGAGTGAGATGATACAATATGCCTCCAAAACCCACTTGTGGGATCTTCCGAGTGGAAGCAATTCGAGTTGCTGTGTGAGCGGCCAGCTATGGATGAAACTCCTGGCAAGTGGCTACTTCGAGATTTAACATCTCGATCTGCCGAAACTGGCGTCTTATGCAAACTCGAAGACGAGACTTGCTTCTGGAATCAGGAACTGAGTTTTCTTATTCGGGCGATCTAGAGCGATAGGGGTCGCCCTTTCAGGAACGACTCCAGCTCAGGCCAATCTTCCGAAGTACTGGCTGCCGGCTGACCGTGAGCTTCATCTGCGGCCGATGCCTCCTGGGCCTCCATGGCTGGCTGGGCCTTCAGGTAGCCAGTCAGAATGTTGTTTGCAAAAACACTCTTACGAGCCCAGCGTTGCAGGTCGTCATGAGCCCTGTCCGGCGAGCTCTCTCGACTCTGAAGGAGACGCAGCATGGTCTTCTTCAGGCGCATGCGAATCTGCTTTCCGGGCCTCTGTGGGCTGATTTCCAAGGTCTGCTTGTGAATGTGGCAGAACGGACAAGCATCCCTGTGGCACCCAGCAGAAGTTGCGAAGAAGATACAGGGATCGCAGGAACCCACAAGGTGTGGCATCGCAGGACCCTCTTCCGAGGAAGGCTGAGCCTGATCGTCTTCCATACCTTCTTTGTCCGATGACGAAGACGCCATCACTTTGCAGGAACTGGAACTGAGATGCTGCGGCAAATACAACATGCCGAATTTATGCTGAGATGTCTTGTGGAGACTCATGCCGCGGGTGCGATTCGCATGTCCGCAACAGTATTGCAGCACACGCCAAGCTTGCGAGAAGGCACTTGCAAGAAGACAGTGAGCAAAGATGAGGATGCGCAGATGACAGAAATGCCTCGACGACATGAGAGCTAAGCCAATTAGCATTCTGCAATAGTGGGGGCCCATTGGTAACGGCTGACAATGCGACATTAACTAAGTTCTGCTTGCCAATGCAACGCATGCCGGCTGTGAACTCCCGTCCATTCAGAGGGGATCGCAGGTCACTGCACGAATGCAACGCAAAATCAAGCCATAGAACGAAGGCAGGACCGGATGGTATGTGAATCACCAGCACTCGACATCAACTAGGGCTCCCACAAACCCAGCCGAATAGCGAGCAGGCAGCCAACGACACGAAAAACAGCAGAATGCCAGTTAAGACCTCGGACACTTGTCGGCACGAACATCGTGCAGTTTCTGCGTACATTCCTAGCAGCTGCCGTCTGTGACGCTCTCAAGCTTTCTCTGGGTGTGCAGCGCATGCACCGTCCTTGTGACAGTGTGCAAACCTGAGTCGAAAGAGCACTGGTGTGTTATCGGCTGTGAGGACTCTGTCTCACGATTGACGCAAGCTGCAAACTGGGCACGTCACCAAAAGCCGGCCTGTGCGGCGTCCTGTCCTGTGATAATGAGCCCGGCACAGTCCAAACCTTAGCAGGACTAAGGTGTGAAACTCGCTTTTCGTGCATCTGACAGTTTCAAGCACTTATGCCGCTGACGGTTTAAGCTTTACCCTCCCGTCCGAGAACTGGAGCCGTGACACAAGTACAGATGCGTGAAGACAGGTCGACTCTGACATATGTTGCGCAATCTTATCTGTGCCGGTGTCTAACAGCGACTGTGCCTCGATCTTGAACACTATAATCTTAAACCGCTTGCAACAAGTTCTTTCATATGAGACCGCGGCATAATCTCATAACCACCGCAACGATAACCGTGGAGGCCAGTCGGATGTAGGCGACCTCAGATGACAGCGACATTCGGAAGAGACCGCTCGAACTCTGACTGGACAAGGGGCAAGAGGACGATACGAATGTACAATGTCCGGGTGCTTGCATTCAATTGCTTGGTAACCATGTTGGACCTAGGTTCCGCACGATAGTTCGCCCCGCCAACACGCGCAGGTCATGCAGCTCCTTTGGGGCAGCAATACTTGGGGCCTTCATGGGACTCAGTAAGTACAGTTATAGGTACCCTAACTGGGGTTATATCCAGTTATACGTATAGTTACCTTATGTATAACCATAGTTACTCCGTCCCATGAACCTTTAAGTAAGAACGTCATAGTGGCTGTACACAGCGGCAAGCACCTCTTTGCCCCACAGCATGGTGCCGTCCCCATGCTTCTGAACAAGGCAACTCAATGCTAAGTCAATATCTCGTCCAGGCTTTGTCAAGTCTGCGTCGGCTGCCGATGTAGGAGTCCAGACTGTGTAGTTTTGCATTGATTCCTGCACATGTATGCTGTACCTGCCGCTACAAAAAAAGGGGACATACCCGAAGCTAGTACAGCTGTGCTGCTCCATTCATGTTGACCCACGTGCTCTCATGTGTTTTTTCTCATCATGTGCGCAATAGCTCACTGGAACCTTCTTGGCATGGCATGTTCTAACGAAGCGGCCAGAAACTCGACCCTCATAATGGCACATTCAGGCACCCCTTCGTGCTTGCGTACTGGCTTAATTCATGTAAGTACCTACCTCGTTAAACCGTGAAGCTTCTCGCTATGCTTAAAGCAGCAGCAGCAGCTAGCTACGCGAGCTTCTCATGACCACGGTCTTCCAAAAGTCACAGAAAAAGATGATGTCGGTCCCTTGCAACAGCGACTGAACTGACTGCCCAGACAGGTTTTGGGTGTGCAGTAGCGGAGCCTCGATGGCCTCAGCTGCTGCCTTTGGCTAGCTTGGGTGCATGCTGTCTCTGCGCCTTTTTCGCTCCGGCCCCGTAATCTTGTGCAGCCGTAGAGGCGGATGGCCATGCGGAAGATCGTACTAGGATATCTGATGCCTGTCCGGTCTTACTTCATAGACGAGGATGGGGTCTTCCCCGTCCACCACTTGCGCAGTCAACTTTGATCGGAGATTACCGAAGAGGCGCCACTGCCCTTGCTTCCACGATTGCAGCTGTCTTGTCTCGCAAAGGAATAAGTAGCCTTTGGCGGTGATATCGATCTTGCACAGAGTGAAATCTTGCTGGTTGAGGGTAGGTTGAGTCTCTCCATCCGGGCGCCACTGCATGAAACACAGGGCGCGCTCCAAGGCTTCAGCGGCTCGGCGCCGAAGGCCGTAGCGCTTGGAGTAAGGATCAGGAGGAGACCCATCTTCTGAGTCCAACAAGGAGATCTGCTCAGAGGTTAATGCAACCCATAGCTCGATGCCGTCCGAGCGGACCTTGGTGTCTTCCAGTTCACCCACCGGAGAGCGGCTGCGAGACATAGCTGGCAGTTGAACTTAACTTCAGATATTCACCTATTATAATGTACATCCGTGTTTCATATATGCATGAACATGATAACGCGAATCCGACACTGACTCGAATTGAGCCGGAGAAGGAAATCGGATGTCTCTGGTGGCTATACGCTTGCAAGCGCTTGCATCGGTCGTAGCCTCGGATTATTGCATACTTTTTCGAGAGCATGCAGTAAAGACAAGCTTGGGCTGTTCTGCCGTTGAGCGCCCATTTCACGGATGCGCGCATGCGGCAATTACAACCCGAGCCACGGGACTGTGAAAAGCTGTGTCAACCTGTCAGTGTAGTGGGCGAGCTGGGGAGGGTGCCTGAGCCATGCGGCAACGAAGTACCAAAGTTTTTGTGAACTGTTTTCCCCCAGAGCTGTACTTCTACACATCCAAGCTTGGGGCCTCAGCGTGCGGTTAGAGGTACCGGAGGAAGGCGGGCGCAGCGGTTGCGCGTTGCAGGGGACCTATAAAACGAAGCCCAGCCAAAGCCGCAAGTCACGGACAGCGCAAGCTGAGACCAAAGCAATTTCATCGGAGGTCTAGGAGGCGATCCTTGGTGGTTTATTATGTCGCAAGAGTTCAGAAAGCCGCCTTGGCCTGTCCGAGCGCTGGTCCTGCCGGCCCCATCTCCACGGCCTTGCCGGGCTTAGTCAGGGGAGAGGGGCGGAGATTCGAGAAGGCTACGCCACGCCCCGCGCCCACGCCTGCTGCTTTGGCAACGGAAGATCCTGTGCACCGTAGTTGCCCTTCGGCTTCAGTCTTCCCAGGTTGCCGTGCATGCCGTGGCGAGGTGCAGTGAAGGACCAGTCCGTCGGATCTGTTTTGACACCAAAGTCCGGAGACTCACAGCGCTGGCCAAAAGTCATCGCTGCTCGGTTTGGGCGGAGCCCACCCAAAGTGGCTAAGCCGAGCGGCAAAGGTTCGTCCGGGAGGCCTTGCGTGGGCACGTTCTGACGGTCTGACACCTCTGCGGCCGTGAGCTCATCGGAGGAACGGCGTCTTCGTCCGGTGGATGGTGGCCGCGATCGCACTGCTTCGCGTTCCAGATCTGCTTGCACCATGGTATTGGCCTCCAGCACACAACACAGCTCCCTTTCACGGCACTGCCTTGGCGACACAGCTCCGCGCGTTGAACTCATCAATCTTCGTGTCACAGGCGTGCAGCCTGAAGTCCAGAGGCCCAGAAGGCCGGTGGAAGTCTTGCGATATATATATATATACACACACACATATATATATATATATATGTATATATAGTGTATAAAATATAAATATATATATATATATATATATATACAAATATAATATATAATCTATGTATATATTACAATATGTATATATATATATAACGTTATATTACATATCATATATATATATATATATATAGAGAGAGAGAGAGAGAGAGAGAGAGAGAGAGAGAGAGAGAGAGTCAGAGAGAGAGAGAGAGAGAGCGCAAGCAACGCCAAAGCCGTTTGTGGAAACCTCTGGGAAGCTGACTCTGCGCGTAGTCGCAACAGAAGAGCCCTGAGCTCCGGAAGCATTCAAAAAGCTACCGCAAGCTCTACGATCTCCACGCAATGTTCAGAATGTTCAACACAGTTTACCCTAAACCCTAAACCGCCCGAGGTGCCTGTCGTTGGGATTGACAGTCCCGTTGGCTTGAAGACACACGATCCTGCTGTGGCTGTGATAAGCAGACTGGCACCGTCAGAGAAGCAGATGCGCTTACGAAATGTGCGAACCATGAAAATGGCGACATACACAGGGAGGGCGCGGCTCATTTCTGTCATTCTGTCCAGGACTGTATCTCGCCCAATCGATAAGCAGCCATTGTATTGTTATGTTATCGTCGATTTTCCATGCCATGGAACATGGTAAGACGGAGGCATGGAGCACTGGCCCCAGGCGCAAGAGCTTCGACCCCGTCGACATGCTAAAGTTGGAGCTAGAGGCCGAATATGCTGAAACTTACTCAGCCTACAGAAAAACGAAAGTTCTACATCAGACGAATGCCCCAGAAGAATCAGACGATAGTCCTGGCAAAGTAACAGCCAGCATTATATGACACATGGGTGGTTGTCAAAATTATGGTCCCTTTTTGGGTACCGTAAATAATAGGTGCCGTGTTATCATAAGGACCCAAAAAGGGACCTTAATTGTGACAACCACCCACATGGAGCAGATGGAAGCAGGAGGATGCGCAGGCCGCAAGGAACCAAGCAACAGGTCGCGGAGTCCTGTTCATCACCCACTTCTGGCGATCCTGCACCATCGCCTCACACAAAAGAAGCAAGTCAAATGCTATAGAGGCCTCAATAATTAGAATAGGGTTACCAGGCCCATAATACCGTATTTATGATAAGGAACCCCCCAAAAAATAGTCTAGGCAATTATTTAGGCCCCTACATAGTAGGCTCC